TAACACAGTTTATAGTAAAGAATCACAAGGGTATCATAGAAGAAAAGAATAAAATTACACATTCACATGTGATGTCACATACTGGCTGAAAGATTATGAATAATACAGTTTAGTAAAGTATCACAAATGTATCATAGAAGAAAAGAATAAAATCACACATTCACATCTGACTTGACTCACTTCCTGAAAGATTGTGGATAACACAGTTTAGTAAAGTATATCACAATAGTATCATAAAAATAGAATAAAATTACCCATTCACATGTGATATGACTTACTGGCTGAAAGATTGTGGATAATACAGTTTAGTAAAGTATATATCACAATGGTATCATAAAAATAGAATAAAATTACACATTCACATATGACATAACTTACTATCTGAAAGATTGTGAATAATACAGTTTAGTAATGTATAAAACACAGTTTAGTAAAGTATCACAATGGTATCATAAAAATAGAATAAAATTACACATTCACATGTGACATGACTTACTGGCTGAAAGATTGTGAATAACACAGTTTATAACGTATCACAATGGTATCATAGAAGAAAAGAATAATGTTACACATTCACATGTGACATAACTTACTATCTGAAAGATTGTGAATAATACAGTTTAGTAATGTATCACAATGGTATCATAAAAAAATAAAATTACACATTCACATGTGACGTGACTTACAAGCTGAAAGATTGTGAATAACACAGTTTAGTAAGTATCACAATGGTGTCATAGAAGAAAAGAATATAATTACACATTCACATGTGATGTGACTTACCGTCTGAAAGATTGTGAATAACACAGTTTAGTAAAGTATCACAATGGTATCATAGAAGAAAAGAATAAAATTACACATTCACATGTGACATGACTTACTTCCTGAAAGAATTGTGAATAACACAGTTTAGTGAAGTATCACAATGGTATCATAGAAGAAAAGAATAAAATTACAAATTTACATGTGACACGACTTACAATCTAAAAGATTGTGAATAATAGATTTTGGTAAAGTCACAATGGTATCATAAAAGAAAAGAATAAAACTACACACTCACATGTGACATGACTTACAAGCTGAAAGATTGCAAATAACACAGTTTGGTGAAGTATCACAATGGTATCATAGAAGAAAAAAATAAAATTACACATTCACATGTGATATGACTTACTGTCTGAAAGATTGTGAATGACACAGTTATTGCCACAATGGTGTCATAGAAGAACAGAATAAAATTACAAATTCACATGTGACGTGACTTACAAGCTGAAAGATTGTGAATAACACAGTTTAGTAAAGTATCACAATGGTATCATAGAAGAAAAGAATAAAATTACACATTCATATCTGACATACGTGACTTACTTTCTAAAAGATTGTGAATAACACAGTTTAGTAAAGTATCACAATGGTATCATAGAAGAAAAGAATAAAATTACACATTCACATGTGACATATGACTTACTTCCTGAAAGATTGTGAATAACACAGTTTAGTAAAGGATCACAATGGTATCATAGAAGAAAGAAATAAAAATTACACATTCACATGTGATGTGACTTACTGGCTGAAAGATTGTGAATAACACAGTTTAGTAAAGTATCACAATGGTATCATAAAAATAGAATAAAATTACACATTCACATGTGACGTGACTTACTGGCTAAAATATTGTGAATAACACAGTTTAGTAAAGTATCACAATGGTATCATAGAAGAAAAGAATAAAATTACACATTCACATGTGACGTACGTGACTTACTTTCTGAAAGATTGTGAATAACACAGTTTAGTAATGTATCACAATGGTATCATAGAAGAAAAGAATAAAATTACACATTCACATGTGACATATCACTTACTGGCTGAAAGATTGTGAATAATACAGTTTAGTAATGTATCACAAAGGTATCATATAGAAGAAAAGAATAAAATTAAACATTCACATGATGTGACTTATTACTTCCTGAAAGATTGTGAATAACACAGTTTATAGTAAAGAATCACAAGGGTATCATAGAAGAAAAGAATAAAATTACACATTCACATGTGATGTCACATACTGGCTGAAAGATTATGAATAATACAGTTTAGTAAAGTATCACAAATGTATCATAGAAGAAAAGAATAAAATCACACATTCACATCTGACTTGACTCACTTCCTGAAAGATTGTGGATAACACAGTTTAGTAAAGTATATCACAATAGTATCATAAAAATAGAATAAAATA